CAGAATTCCAATAACATATCCGGTTTAGTCCCGAGATTACTGCGCCTAATTTGGCAATCCTTCTTTGCCCGTGACAATATTAAGCTATAATCAATACTTATATATATTTGCAAGTAATAATGCCAAAACCCATCGTTCAACGATGGGTCCAGTATCTAGTTTTAGATACATTCCTCCTGTTTATACGTGTGTTTGTACGGGTTAAACATTTTTCTCGAACATAATATCAGCTTTGCCAGGTATTAACGGTCCAAGAAAAAGTCCATAATGCTGCTTGTGTTTCGCATTCTCAAGTTCAATTTTGATATTATATTTTAATATAATGTGATGTAGAAGAATCTTAATCACAGTAACAGCAAAAAATCTACCCGGACAGGCACCTCTCCCATGTCCAAATATCAAATAACTGCGATCTAGTTTTGTCGATGGGGAATTATGACGGTATGCGTTGAATTCCTGAGGATTCTGACCCTGAAATTCTTCATCAAAATTTACTTCTCTAACGTCCAAAAGGACTTGACGACCTACGATTTTAAGTAGTTAGGAAATGTAGTAAGATTAATTATTGCTTGAAGGTTAAAAGAATAACAATCACGAAAAAAATTACCGCGTGGAACTTGAAATCCATTCGCAAACGTATAAGTTTCAGAAAGACATCGACGTGACAAACTAAGTACATTAGAATTTATTCTTAAAGATTCTTTAAGAAAGTTATCCAATTTCACCATTTTATCAACATCCTTATATGTAAGTTTGCCATTACACTGTTTATTAATTTCTTGAGCCTCCTGATATAATTCTTTCCAATAATCCTTCTTTCTTTTTGCTAGCTCTAATTCAAATAAAATATATTTAAAATATAATTATTTTATAATTCAAAATGATAGAACATGACTAACCGACTAAAGCATAGGCAGCCGAGGTAGACGTAGTTGACATAGAAGCAAATGCAAATACACCAATTATGTCAACGATCATGTTATAATTTACATGATTTGGATCGAAATCTGGAGCTATTTCAGGATCGTCCATAAGAAGTTGTAGAACATCCAACTGTTTTTTAAACAAAATTATATTAAAATAATTTAAATATTACTGTAATTAATAAACTTTCTTTTATAAATAACTTACAGGTGCATCCCAGGAGTCGCCGAATTTCCCTTTATAAAGAAAACGTTTTTCGATGATTGGTCTAATACGGCTAATGATTATTCTTCTATAATTTGAAATAAATCTTAAAAAAAAGCTATGATAAAAGAAAAGTTTTATGTAAAGAATGTATTAGCATGCACAGGCAGATCGGATTTA